CAATTCCATCTATAGCAGTCCCTCCAAAATACAGTGTAGAGACCATTTTTGGAATGTAAATTCTCTCATATTTTGCTTATCTGGAAATTGTTTAATCTCTCCTTAAAATTTATATGATAATCTTGCTGGATAGAGTATTCTTTGTTTGAGGCCCTTCTGCTTCATTGCATTAAATATATCTTGCCACTCCCTTCTGGCCTGTAAGGTTTCTGTTGTGAAGTCTGATGATAGCCTGATAACTTTTCCTTTGTATGTGATCTTTTCCTCTCTCTGGCTGCTTTTAATATTCTGTCCTTATCCTTGATCTTTGTTCTTTTAATTATTTTATGTCTTGGTGTTGCCTTCCTTGGGTCCCTTGTGTTGGGGAAGTTTTCAGCCATTACCTCATCAAGACACTGTTTTTTTTCTCTCTCTCTTCTTCTCCTTGTACCCCTCTAATGCAAATATTGTTCTGTTTTGATTGGTCACACAGTTCTCTCAATGTTCTTTCATTCCCAGATATCGTTTTTTCTCTCTGTGCCTCAGATTTGTATTCCTCTTCTCTAATTTCTATTCAATTTACCATCTCCTCTACTACAGCTAATCTGCTTTTAAATTCTTCCATTGTATGTTTCATTTCAAATATTGAATTCCTTAGTGATTGAATCTCAGTCCAGAATTTGTCCCAGAGTTCTTGAATATTTTTCTGAACCTCCATGAGCATGTTTATGATTTTTATTTTGAAATCTCTTTCCGAAAAATTGATGAGTTCAGTTTCACTTGTTCCTTTTTCTGGTGATTTTAGTTTGAGCAAGATTCCTTTGACGTTTGGTATTTGTATGTGGCACCCTCTAATGCCAGAACCAGGGGGTGGAGTGCACAGGTGTAAGCCTCTGTGCTTTGCATTTGTAGTTGTCATAGGTGGGGCCTCTCCAGCTGGCCTGACACCACGGCAGGGGCTGCTGGTTTGCGAGCCAATGCCAGCTTGCCTGAGGAAGGTGCAGCAGGCTGCATATCATGGTAGGGTCCTTGGAGCTGTGTAGACAGCCAGAGTGATGGAGCACCTGAAGCTCCTGAAAGTTCACAACCTGCTGGGCAGAGTGCACCTGAACAATCTTGTTCACTGGTGCTTTCTCCTGAGCAGCAAACCCTTTGCAATTGTTGCCCCTTTAGCAGCCCTCTCACTGATAGGAAGTCTCTCAGACTGCTCACCCACCTTTCTTCTGTCCCAGAGCAATTGGATATGGATCCCTGTTTTCTACAAGTGGCTAGAATCTCAGTCTCTCAAAGTATTCTGCCTGTCTTAGCTTTCCAAACCCATGAATCTCCAGAGCACCATGCAGTTTAGAATCTCCAGGGCTGGGTGTTTAGCATTCCTAGGTCTCCACCCTCTCCCTGCTCCATTTCTCTTCCTCCCACCAGTAATCTGTTGTGGTGGAAGGGCTTGGATCCCACAGGGTCACGGCTTTGATACATTATCCTTTTCTGTGAGGTCTGTTCTTTTCTCCAGGTGTATGCATTCTGGTGCAGCCTTCTTTCCTGTTGCTATTTCAGAATTAGTTTTATTAGCTATATTTCCATATTATATGTGGTTTCAGGAGGAAGCCTTTGTCTCATCTCTCACACTGCCTTCTTTAATCCTCAAGTCTGTTTAAATATTTTTTTGAAAACAAAATCACTTTCAAGAAGGACAGCTTCCCTTCTGAAAGATATTTACAAGAATTCTTCATCAGCATGTAGAGATCATTGATTTTATAGTCCATTTAAGAGCTGTCTCAAAGAACTTGGGTGTTCCTTCCTTTAATGAAGGGCCCTACATCATGAAAAGCACTGTACAGAGAGTTAATGTACAAAGATGATAAACAAGGCCTTTTCTGCAAAAGACTATAAGTGTATGTATGTTTTAGAAAACAAAGTATGTAGAATTACCAAGTGAAACAAAGTAAATAAGTAACTAATTACCACTCAACGAATCAGTATGTCCTGTCAGAAAGCTGTTTCTCCTAACTTCAAACAAATCATGTGATTGCTATAAAATTGTTATTGCTATAAAGTTCTTAAAAAGTTTATAACTGCATTTCTATCAGATCACTAGCACCTAAACAACTCTATAAATGAGCTGTTCAAATAATGTTCTGTGAGGAGTGCAATCCATTACAGAAACTTGAGTGGAAGAATCAGAAGTCCTTACAGAAAGAAGTGGCACATTGATTTGGTTTTGTTTCAATAAATAGAACTGCTAAAAGCAAATGTAAGAAAGAATAACATTTTAGGCTTGGAGAGCATCATAGAAAAATGACAAATTATGAAGGGTACAGTACATTTAAGGAAGAACAAGAATTCTTTTCTGGCACAAGTTGAGCACATGGCTGTACAAAATGGCAGGAAATTGTACCAGAAAAGAAATCTCCATCCTCACAGGACTAATTTTATTTTCTATAGTAGGCAGTTTGTAATTTATCTTATAGGAAATAGAGATCAAGCTTTTTTAAGCAGTTAAGTAGAATAATCAAATCTGTGTTTTACAAAAATAAATATAGTAGCACTAAGGAGGATGAAACAGAGAGAGAACATGGAGTATAGGAAAGGGCTTAGGGCCTATTTCTAGTCCAGAAAAAAAAGATGATGATGAAGCAGTGGGAAGGAAGGAAAAGAAGGAAAGCAGGATGTTTCAGAAGAGAAATACATCGGACTTGAGGAGTGCTTATGTAAATATGAGAGGTAAGTAGAATGATTAGGTAAAAAGGTTTATTTAAAATCTTCTTTAAAATATTTCATTTAATGACCAGTTCACAAAAAATTACTCTAGAAATCAAGAAAGATGACAAAATTGGTGATGTAGATTTGAGAGCAATCAACACCATTGAAATAACTAAGAAATTGAAATGGTCAAGAAATGACCATTGTTGCCATAGAAGTGAATTAGATTATTTAGAGAGACCATTGATCAAGGATAAAATAGTTCATTGAATCAGTTTATAATTATGCTTCTTCAGAGTCAGATGGGAAAAATATTAGGTCTAGAACATAGGGTTTGGAGCAAAAAACATTTATTTAAAACAAATAGGGCAAGAATTGAGAGTGTGCAGGACTGTGTAAAGGAAGGCTGAGAATTTCAAATAAGGCTTATCAGTATTTTCCATACTGCTGAGAGGTCAGGTATGCAGAAAATAAACGAAGAGATACTATTAGATTTAGCAAGGAGAAGGTCATTGCTGGCTTTAAAGTGATTTCAACACTGGAATGAGAGAAGTCAGGCTGAAATACTTTCAAGACTGAACAGGGAGGGAAGGAAATGGAGTAGTGAACATAGGAGACTTACAAGAAGTTGTAATGTAATGATTTCACTTATGTGGGGAGTCTAAAAAAAGACAAACTCATAGAAATAGAGAGTAGACTAGTTGTTGCCAGAGGCAGGACTCAGAGTGGTGGGAGAAATGGGGGGATATTGATTAAAGAGAACTGGGGCTATAATATACAGTATGGTAACTGTAGTTAATAAAATTATATCATATACTTGAAAGTTGCTAGGACAGTAAATCTTAAATGTTCTCACCACACATACAAGGTAATTCTGTGAAACGATGGGTGTGTTTACCTTATTATAGTAATCATTTTGCATTGTAACTCTATCAAATCATCATGTTGTATACCTTAAACACACGATATTATATGTCAGTTATATCTCAAAAAAGCTGAAAGAAGAACTGATTGTTAAATAGTCAGAAATGTTGTGAATCCTTGATAAACTTTTGGTAGCTCAAATAAGCCAACCATGGAAATTGAAAAAAAGAGAAGGGAGAGAGTGAATGGAAGAGAAGAAAATACATTAGTGAGCATTGGAGATTTACAAGAAATTAGGCACTAAATGAAAAAAGGATGATTGGTTATTAATGCTGAAGGAAGAAAAGTAAAAAATATCATTGTTATTTTCTCCTTATTACATAATAACAGAGTATTATTGTTTAAAATATAGAAACCAAACACAAACAAGAGAAAATTAAAAGTAACAGTTTTCACCACAAGATATGAACTTCAAGTTGAGAGGATGTCTGGAATAGATTTATGCTAAATTGTAAGCTAATGGAGTGAGAAAAATCTAGTAAAGAAAGCTTTATTTAATATAGTAGAGAGACACACATTTAGTGATAAGAAGACCTGAAGTTGGAAGACCTGAGCTTGAATTCTGACTGTGCCGTTGACAAGTTGAGTGACCTTGGAGAAGTCAAGCAAACTTTTGGGACTTCCATAAACAGATATTTAAAGTGGTGCTGACAATAACTATGTAAAGTCTGAAGTGCATATGAAGTTACATGCTTCACTGTACATCATTTAAAACTACAATGGGTTATTACTGATGGGTGGAGAAGGATGACTTGGGGCAAAGAAATGCAAATGAAAAGTAATGCCATCAAGAACTTGGAGTGCTCAAGAAGGAAGATAAAAGACAGATGCAGTATGGTGTAGAAGAAAGAGGAGTGAAAACTAAGGAAATGTTACATTTAACTTTTGTGGGAATTTATTAAAATTATTTCACTGTGACTCTTCTTGTAGTCTGAATGGTCTAATTCCCAGTAATAAGAATAGAAAGAGTAGTCTTAACATTGATTTCTCAATTATGCTCTTATGGTTTACTTAATAAATAGAAATGAAAACTATTTAGATGGCTTAATCAATCGAAGGCTTTTCTTCTTTTTCTTTGGAAATTTCTGTTAATATTATTGGATAGACATATCTCTCTCTAATTAAACTAATCTGTTTATAGTCACAGGATAATTTGTCATGCCTCACACTTTTATTCATAAGTAGTTTTTGGTTAATGTTGAAAATATTGAGATAGTGAATGTCAGGTTGTAAAAAATACTCTCATTTTGGTAAGTGACACTAGAACTCCATAGTATATATTTCAATATGGTGATAATTGTGCAATTTTCTATTTAAAGTCTATTTGCAAGATATTTTATCAGTATGATTTTGCATGTGATACATGCTCATCTTTTGAAATGCAATTTCTCTTTTAGTGAAGACCTGTGGCTCTAATCTTCAAGGACCGAGTGGAACCTTTACGTCTCCCAACTTTCCATTCCAGTATGACAGCAACGCACAGTGCGTCTGGGTCGTCACAGCAGTGAATACAAATAAGGTGAGAGAACCTGTGGCAGGAAGTGTGATCATAAAGACATAGGGAAAAGGGATCCTGGGGAAGGTGCAGTGAAGTAAATTCATAACTAAAGTCTGATTTCTGTATCTCCAACTTATCCATTATCTTAATATTAACTTATATGAGAAATTTGGAAAAAATAAATTAAAAAAATAAAATTCTACTCCTATTTACTAACATATAAATGACAACACATTAAAAATTTAAATGTAGGTTTTTTGAAATACATTTTTGAAGGTTGTAAGTATATTTCCTTTTTCTTAAAGAAGCCATGAATAATGGTTTTCCATGTCATATCTTTTCAGCTTGACATTATCATTCAGATGCATCATGTTTTTATACACAGTTGACTTTTCTTGCAATGTTTGTCTGTTGCCATAGATCATACAGCTGTTCTTTATTATTTTTTAAATAGTGTATTTTAATGTGATATGGATTAATAGAGGGTTCATATTATGGATATTTCAAAAGATTGGCCTTTCTTCCATTTAACTAAAAATGTATAATGTGTCACAATACTTCAAACAAAATTATTATGCTGAATGAGTATAACAGCAGCTAAAAAATTTTCTACCTTTACTTTACTGCTTTCTTTATCCTGCTTCTCCTTGTAGGACTATATGGAAGACCTAAAAATAATAGGAAGATTCAAAATTCTTCTCAGATTATCTTTTCTGGGTTTGAGTAAGGAATGTTTGGTGGTTGAGCTCATAAGACTGAATCAGATTATATTTCAAATGCCAATTTAGAATTTAGTAATTGATAACTTTGATCAAATTATTTAACCCTCTGAAATTCAGTTTCTTTGTAAAGCATAAATAATATGAGCATGTATTTCAGTATTGTGAGAAATAAATGAGGTAACCTATGCAGAGTGCTAAACAGTACTTAAAGAAAAGAAAACATTAAGTCATTGTTACTAGGCAAAGCATATACTTCATCTCAGATATTTTGGGTTTTATGTTCATAAAACCTAACCCAAAGAGTAGCACAATTGGTTTAAAAATCAACCCAGTGGTCAGTTACAGTTGCCTCATAGCAGAGTTCTGACTTATGAATCAGGAAAACTAGATCAGAAGCCAGCTCTCCCCCAAAGCATCTGTATAAACTGAGAAAATTGCCAAATCTCACCCTTCAGCTATGTAAAGGAAATTGTTTTACCCAAACCTGTGTTATCAGTTCAACTCACATATTCAATTCAAATATTTATCAAATGCCTTATCTGTGTAAATTATGAATTGTTGAGAATTTTTCTTAAATCATGAAGTATTTGAAAAATAAGCTCATATTTATCAAACACTTAGCAACATGCCAAATGCTGTTTGAAGCACATTTTATAAATTATTCAGTCCTCATAAGACTCCCCCTAAGAGGAAGATACTTCTATTGTCTGCATTGAACATAGGCTAAATAATTTATCTAAAATAACATAGCTGGCAAAGGTCAGAGCTGGGTACTTTATAAAGTATGTTATTTAGGACATATCACACTAAGATACAAGTGTCCTGCACTAAGATAAGCATGAAGTGAATTAATTGTAAAGTATGGAACAAACACATTGTATTAATCTTGCACTGAGATGGAAATCTTTTTGTGTCGTGATAATTACCTATAATTGTCATCAAGATGTAATTATCTCCTGTTCTCTAAGCCTTCTGCTTTGCTAAATTTAATTCATTCTCATTACTGAGTTACCTTAAGTTTCACAGAGGTCATCACATTTCTCCTTGTTTATCTTAACTAATCTGCCAAACTTTATCTCTTCTTTTTCTCCCTAAAAATATTCAGTTTATTTTCTAAGGAAGACATAATTATTTTCACCTTGCTGTTTTTTTTTTCAAATAGCTGACTGATGATACTAAATTTTGATTTGTTGGTTTACTTCTATTTTAAGATATTTTATAGAAATTGGTTTTCAAGAATTTTTAACTATAACCCACAATTAGAATTACATTTTGTTTGTGGCCTGGTTCACTGACTTACACACAATCACACACACACTCATTGCTACAAAATAACATTTCCTTTATTAGCATTTCTTTATTTTTTATTACAATTATCATAATCTGTTTTTAAATTACTGGTCATGTCTCACTGTATCTATGTGATGATACACTAATAGGTTATAACACATACTTTGAAATACTGTTCAAAGTCTTGCTTTCATAGATTATCATGTCAGAACTCTTTTTGGAAGGCAGTTGCTGGCATAAACCATAGGCATACATCTCTCCTATTTGGTATAAATACCAGCTAACCAAGATGCCTAATCCCTTAATATCTATCATCTTCAAAAAATCATTGCTCATTTTTTCTTTATGTATGATAACTTTAAAAGTAGTCATGTTGTTCTGCATATCCAAAACAAATATATGGTTGGTGGGAAAAAAACTTGAGATTTGAAACTGGATGAAACTGGTTTCAAATCTTGGCTGTCTCTCTTATTAGTTACACAGTTTTACGCAGACATAATCTTTGAGTCCTCTGAGCCACAGCTTTCTTTTTCATCTCATAGAGATAATAATACCATATTATAAAGTTCTTTTTTACTGATTAGATAAGACAATAAGAAATTTCTGATTCAAAGTAGGATCACCGAAATAGGCATCTACTGTTACTGCAAAATGTTTCCATTTATTAAGAAATATGCTCCTCTTCAGTTATGTGTCTTATTTCACATATCAATGCAGAAAAAACATTACTACACACTATTATCTTCTATATTTGATTATCTTGTTGAATGATTTGTAGGTGACTGTCTTATACTGAAATATTTCTTAACAACAGCAAGTTAACACATTAAGACTGGTACTTTAACCTAGTCATCGAATTAACCATCCTCCTCTCATTGAGATACATATTTAACATTAGCTCCATGTGTGAAATAAATAATTTGTCTTTAATTTTTCTTTAATTTCTGTGGTGCTGGTCTTCCTCAATTTAGGTGGTCTAATGCATTAGTATTCCATCTGAGGTACACAAATAATTCCCAGGGTGTACATGGGGTCCTGGACACCATTTTTAGATATAGATATTCCACTTTTTAATGCTGTTCTGCCTGATGACCCATTTGTTCATTTTTTTAATTGCTTTCCCTTTTATGACTATCTTTGACAGTTTCAAAAGAAAGGCATATATTACTTTTTCAGCTGAAGTATTAATACTTTGCATTACTTGAATGTTAATAAAACTGTGGAGATCCAGAGTAGGAAATTCCAGGTGCAGAGCTCCCAAGGGAGAGTTCTTGAAAACAGAGTGAAGATACATTAGCTAAGAGGTATTTGAATACCTTGTTTTATCCAAACACCAAACTTATGAAAGGCCCATCTCTTTATGTATCTGTATACATCTACCCATCACCTATTTTTTATTTATCTATCTCTATCTCTTTCTGTCCTAGAACTAGAATGTGTGATACATAGACATATATTATAGACTAATTTGAATTGAAACACAAAGTCTTTTTGACAGAAATAATTTCTGACTTATCTGGTTTTACAGCTTTTTTCATTTACAATACACAGTAGACATTTTCTAGAAGTAAAGTGAACTAATAATATGAGATTTTAAGGAAACTATATTATAAGGAATTTGTAAAATTTTAGTATAATAGAAACTGTATCCTTTGCAGCTACTCACAGATTTTTTAAGGTAGGCATCTATTAAATTATAGGAGAGAGTAATTTTCAAAATTCTTTGATCTATGTGCACAAAATTTAAAGGCTATCTAGATCAGCATTGTCCAATAGAAATACATGACCCACATATATAATTTTAAATTTCCTAGTAGCTATATTTTTTAAAAGATTAAATTGGTTTTAATGTTGTATTTTATTTAACTCCAGTATTATAATTGGGACATGTATTCAGAATAAAATTATTAGTGCAATAATTTGCCATCATTTTCTATTCTAAGTCTTTGGAATCCAGAGTGTCTTTAACACTTAAAGGACATCTCAATTCAGACGAGCCACGTTTCAAACATTCAACAGGTGTGGATTGCTGGTGGCTACCCTAATACGGAAGGAAAACATTGAAATTTCTATCACTATAGAGTTTTACTGTTCTGCTTTAGAGATTATAAGAGGTGATGGTGGCTGGTGTTGAGGAGAATAAACATCCCACTGCAAGGGAGTTGTTGCCTCAAGTGAAGTTTTGGAAGGGCTTCCAGGAAAGGTGAGAGTGTTTGCTCCCACGGGTAGAGGTGGCTCTGGAAGACTTGGGGTTTAAGATTCTCAGCCTTATTCCAGAATATCCAGTGCTTCTCTTTCAAATTTTAGGATCCCATTTCTTCTCAATTAATGCCCTATTTTCACATGATAAATTGTGAGTATATGTTCAGCTTACATTATAATTATGCACCTTGCGTAACTAAATTATGGGTATAATTTTCCTACTGCTATGCAGTCATGATAGAAGGTCTCTTGTTCTCTGACCATGATTTAAACTGTAATTTTATTTCTTTTTCTGACTCCAGTGCAATCAATAGCCATTTTCCTCCATAGTCCTTGTGGTCTTAGGAATGATAGCCATCAAGTGCAGCAACCATTTGTCCCATCCCCTCAGACCTTGCCTTCAATATGTGTTTCATCCCAGTCACAACAAATAAATAGTTTATGCTATTTTCTGTAGACCAGAAACTCTGCCATGTGAAGGCCAAAAAATGAGCAATGAACCTCCCAAAATCCCATCTTTGAAGGTCTATTTATTGGACTATTATTGATAACAAGGAATATATCAAACAAGGTCTAGTCAGGAAAATATAATCTACATTAGTCGACTAAAACACATGGAATTTAATTTGGAGTGTTACACTGGGGAAATAACAAAAATTAATGCAGAAGCAATAACCAAATCGACAGAAACCATCTTTAGAGCTGGAGAAAAAAAGAGAAAATATGGCATTACAGAATCTAAGAGTTTGTAGTAGGGGCTTGAGAACACTGGAGTTCAGGTTTTAAAAGGAGATATCCCATAGTTGG